GTGCACCATGCACGATGCTTTCGCAGCGATGCATGCAGCCATGCACCCCGTATGCACCACGCATGGTGTTTCTGCAGTGATGCATGCAGCCGTGCACCCCGTATGCACCACGCACGGTGCTTCTGTGACCATGCGCGTGGCTGTGCACCCTGCGTGCACCATGCACAGCGTTTCTGCAACGATGCATGCAGTTGTGCACCTTGCGTGCACCACACACGGCCTGTCCACGGCGATGCATGCAGCCGTGCACCCCACGTGCACCACGCGTGGTGCTTCTGTGACCATGCGCATGGCTGTGCACCCTGCGTGCACCATGCACGGTGCTTCCGCAGCGACACATGCAGCCATGCACCCTGCATGTACCACGCACAGCATTTCTGCAGCGATGCATGCAGCCGTGCACCCCACGCGGCCGCGCATCGGTGCTTCTGTGACCATGCGCATGGCTGTGCACCCTGCGTGCACCATGCACGGTGCTTCCGCAGCGACACATGCAGCCATGCACCCTGCATGTACCACGCACAGCATTTCTGCAGCGATGCATGCAGCCATCCCTGCCGGCAGCCCCCGTGGGACAGGGACAGCAGCACCAGGAGCTGCTCCCTCCCTGCGCCTCCTTCCCACCCCACCGTGCAGCTTCCACGAGCTCCGCCGCTCCCTCCTCAAGGGATCCGGCTGCGTTAAATTTCCTGTGATTAATGAGCCACAAGCACCAGGGGGAACAAAATAATAATCCGAAGGGAGGTTTCCAGGGGGAAACCAGGAGAAAGGAGAGTTGCAGGGAGAGAGGAGGATGGGGCCGTGCACCTCCGGCCCCCGACCTTCCCTGCGCAGCCCCAAGCCTCCTTCCCGCGGGCGCTGCTGCATTGGGCTCCGCTTTGTTCACACGCAGGCAGCGATGGGCGAGGGAGAGGCAGCTGTTACAAATCCTATTACAGCTCCAAGGAACACTCGGGATGGCATGGAGGAGCCTGAGGCTCCTGCAGAATCCGGCTCAGTAACGGCGGAGCTCGAGCTGCCTATAAACCAGGCTGGGGAGCCAACACAAAGGGGAGGCAGCTAAAGGATGGAGAAGAGCAGGGCCATGAAAGCAACAGCTCAACATATTTATTGTTTAGGGCCCAAGGCCCCAGGGAAGTCTATTCAAACACATTATCAGCCCTAGCCCTGGGGTGGGGGGTAGCTGCTCCCTGCGCTGTCCTTGGAGGGTCCCTCTGCCACCGCATGGAGCCCTTGGGCCCTGGTGCTTCCCATGGAGCTTCCCAGGCAGCCCCGAGGTATCCACGGCCTGGGAATGAAGGAGGAATCCCCTCACACACACACGACCTGGCTGTGAAACACACTGCAGCATCCAGAAAGCTTTCACACATCTAGAGCATCAAACTGCGGAGAGGAATATGTATTTGACTTGGAAGTTGGTTATTCCATGGATATTAGCTAGAGTATACGGAAAGTTTAGGAACATGGAGAACAAAATGTGTTGGAAGGTGACAAAGGCAGAGCATCAGTTAAGGCCCTACAGCCCCATACCTCTGAGCCCCCAGGCTGGAGCAGGGGCCTTGCAGGGGATCCCTAAAGCGGCTCCAGATCCGCTCCCTTCCCAACCTCCTACCGGGAACACGCTCCGCTAGCCCAGAGGTATGTGGAAAGGCAAAGTTGTAAAATGAGGCAGCTGAAATTACATTAGAAGGAAAAATCAGAAGCAAAAAAAAAGAAAAAAAAAAGCACAATAAAAAGATAGGAAAATCAGAAGCAAAGAATACAGAAGAAATTTATTGAAAGCACAAGTACAGACTGGCCAATAACTGCTTTCTACAATCTGAACAGTAAATAATGGAGCTACAGAAAGGTACAAAGGTTGTTATAAAATAGTTTTAATTTCATCTTTTTGCATTACAAACATTCTTTGAAAGAGGCAATGGAATTCTGATGTTGTGGATGCTTCCCCTCCCACCCCACCTTCCACAATACTGAACCTGTAATAGCTGTTATCAAAATATACAATACATCTGTTCACCATAAAAAACTGGGTTTTGCTGCCCCCTCATGTCTTACAACAGGTATAAAAAAATTATAAATATGTACACCCTTTTGTTACTCACATTCTTTACATGCAAACACAGGGATCCAAAGGAAAAACCCACAATTGTCTGGGTTCAGGGGTTACCTCAATTGCATTTTGCAAAATACACATAGCCTGTGTGCTGAGCAGGTCGGGGTAAAGGCCACCAGACAGGTTTCATTCCAATAAGCCTCTTCCCAGCGTCTTGGGTGAGGTTGATTGTGTTCCCAAGCTAAACCACGGTTGTTGCTGCTTGGATTGTGCATGGACACGGTCAAGGAGGCCGCTGGAACAGCCGGCGCTCCGGGGCTGCAGGAGGAACCGATCCGCCCTCGTCCATCTGCGGAGGAAGGCAGAGGAGGAGGAAGGCAACGGGACAGTCACCAAGACCTCCAAATCTGCCCCACTGGGGATAAGATGCAAAGAGCTGTGAAAAGCAGCAGGTGACAGAGCTTTTCACTAACCAGCTTATCCCAATTTGCAGGTAACAAACCATATTTCAGCTGAGCTTTTTTTCCAGCTCAACCAGGGGCAATGCTTTTATTTAGGATGGTTTCACACTCCTTTCAGCCACAAGCTGGACACGAAGGCAGACAAGTCTCAGCACCCTCATGCCAGCAACCCAAGCTGAACCCTCACTCAGACTTCACACACTTCTCCAGCATAATTCACATCCTCGAGACTTCAGGGAGGAACTAAGAAAAGTTAAGACTTTTCCAAACACTCAGTGCCAGGCAAGTCAAGAGCTCCCACACTAAGCGAGGAAATCGTAACTTGCAACACTAAGACAATTAAAAAACAAACTTTGGTCCACAATTTGCAGAAAAACCCTGAAAAAAAAGTACAAGATTCTTGTTATTTTGCATCCGAACAGGTTGCAGGTTAGAGGGAAACGTAAGGCAACATCGGATTATACAAAATAGAAGGCAGAATGGCCTGAAAAAAGAATTGTAAGCCAGGAAAAAAAGTATAATCTGGGAAAAAACGATCTGCTGCGTTCTACTTTTAATAAATTCCCTTCCTGTAACTTAAAAAGATTTGGGCTTGCAGTTTAAAAAAAGTAAAAACTTTAGCCTGGGTCTTTTTACTTAAATTCACAAGCCATTTGTGCTTCTTATCTCAAAACACTTTGCTTTAAAAATCTGCTTCGCTTACCACGGTTGATCAAATTCATTACATTACTCATCCTCAGTCATGACCTCAGCCTGATAACTAAATTCCTGCCCTACAGTTTCAATTACAAAAAAATAAAATAAAATAAGAAAGTACAGTATACAAGGGTAATACCACAAAGGAGTAAATTTAGATTACGTTTATACCATCTTATCGTTCTATAAAAAGGTACTTAAACTATTTCTTTTGCATATAAAGAGATTAGAATATTTGGTCAACTGGAAATATTGCTAGGCACAGATGACAGCAACTGCATCAAAAGTATAATACAAGAATTAAAACAAAAAGCTCAAATGCTGAAGACATGCTATAAGAATGATGGCAGAGCTACATTGGTCTTGTTAATCTCAAATCAGGGGCACGAAGGTGACTCACATGAACACCTTTCTAAATGTGGGACATTCAATAATTTTTCAAATCCTAGCCAAGTATTTAGATATATATATACACACACACACAATTTAGACAAACTCTTAATGATTCGTCTTCACAAGTGTCCAACAGTGGTTAATTTCATATCTTGATCAATGCTCTTGTGAAGGGCAGAGCCTGGTGATTTGCTATTGACATTGGAATGTAATTTGGTCATGGGAATGCTTCCCCACCCAGACCTTTCTGCTTAGTCTGAATGTTACAAAAAAAGGATCTTAAATAACTCCCACTTGAAAAGTTTGCAGATAGAGATAAACCACATGCGAATTGGAAAGTGGCATGAAGATACATGATACTACGCAGATCGAGACATTTCATGGACTGTGGGATACAACTGCCTAAAGAGTCAAAGCCCAGTATTTTCTTTATCCACTTGCCAGCTTCACTTGTCCTTTTTGCAGTAAACAGATCTGGTAAGTCAGAGCTCATTCATTCCCCTTAACTCTCCCAATCAAATCCCTACAGTTCAGATGTTTTCCCCAAAAGAAAAGAAGTTTAAGGCACAGGATAGCAGATGCACAGTTTAGGTAAGATCAATGCAACTTATTTTTGTGCTGGGGGAGTTGGGAACTCCTACACACCATGCATTTTGCAAAATCCTGACTCCAAGGCGCTAAAGTGAATTTACACAGTGGTTTTAGGTCTTTCAAGGCATGGATGGGTAAAGAAAATAAAAAAGGCATCAATGTGAAACCTGATAAACTTGTTAGGATCTGCTTTTTGAGGGGAGGAGGAGCAGGAGGGGAGGGGAGTTTTCCCAGAGCAGGTTCCAAAGTGTAAACTTTAACTTGTGATTTTTATTTGAACAGTCAAGATTGTTACCCATCACCACAAGGTTAGCAATATGAATTAGATTTAATTTTCTTTTTTAAAAACCGGTAAACTGATTTCTCCTTAAAAAAATAAAATCTCTGGTCTTTTAAGGTCACTTCAGCTGCATTTTTAAAGTGGCTTTTTTTTTTTCTGGAATGATGGAAGTTGAAACCCTAGTGTTCAGCCCTCTAAGGTTAAGGCTGAACCCAAGAGGTTTTAAGTCAAGTCCATTTTGTCTCATGCCTTCCAAAGCTTTAAATGGTGGACTTTGAGAAGGACACACGCAGGTGATGATTCTCCCCAAGGTCGTGATTATGAAGGTCAATGAGCGACTGAATTGCTTCTTCCACAGAGCCCATCTGGATCAGAGCCATTTTACGGTCCTTCCTGACAAGGCAGAAATTTATGTTTAGTAACATTATTTGTTGAGTCTAACTCTATGCAAGTTTTCTTGTCTAGCACTCAAGAAGGCAAGGCAGACATCTTACTTCACAGCTACTTGGGTAATTGAAATCCATTTCTTTCCTTTTATATGGAAGAATAAGTCTGCACGATAAACATGCACATCCAAGCAACTCAGCCACCTTAAATTGGATTTCATTTGCTCAGCATACTCACCATGCACTCAAACCGAGTGTTACACCTCAGAATTCTTTATTCTACAGGAGTCAAATACAAAAATAATTCTGCTCACCTTTAACTTACCCCAAGTTAATTTTCAGTCAAGATTACTGGTAAGTGCTTCTACTACCCTTACAGAGCTCAGCATGAGGTAGGCTGGGCCATAAGAAAAAAACAAAACAAAAAACCCAACAACTTACTGGAAGAATTTGAATCCTTTGACCATCCCACCATTGCTTGAAAATAGCATCTTGAGGTCTTCTTCAGTTATTGAAGGTCTGAAAGAGAATGATCATTTTTTTTCCAGTCAACTGTATACACACAATCCTCACCAGTCCCTGTTCTAAATCATCTGTCAGTAATTCCATGGGCTGGCAAAACTGCGGAACTGCAGGAAGATGGACAAACTTTACTCCTGCCAACAGTGAAAAGCTGACTATATTCACCTTGAAATAAACTTCAATTACACACACTTTCAATTATTATACTCCATGCAGATACTTACGGAATATTGGACAGATGAAGAGTGGCAGAAGGGGGGAAGATGTTTTGGAAATTTTTGGAGCCTGGTTTCTTGAAACGATGGAGAGGAGAATTTCCATAATCCTTGGTCAGACCCTGGTCTTCCTGCCCCTCACGGGGAAGCTGTACTGTCTGGTGCTTGGACAGAGTTATACGGATAGGCTTCCCGTGAAGCTTCTGACCATTTAAATGACTCATGGCTGCAACAGTTAAAGAAAGCATCAGCTTCAGTTCTCTCCTCATGTTTCAAGCCAAACTAGAATTTCACTCTATTTCTTCCCTATGCAAATATCACATGCGCTAGGAATTGCACACAGGCATTATTTCTCTGCCTTGTTTTCCCTCCCCAGTACAATTTTCTGACACAAACATACTATACCTCCTCCAGGCCAGCACTATACCCAAACTACATATACAGGCAAGTAATTAAGTACTGACATTGAGTGTTTTTTTGCTGTTTTTCTAACGCAAGTAATTAAGTACTGACATTGAGTGGTTTTTTTTTGCTGTTTTTCTAAGAGAAACGATGATAGCACTCCATAAAACTTGGAGTGGTCATTAGGTCCCTTAACATGTTTGCAATCTGACATAATTAAGCTTGCTTACCAAGCTGAGCCTGGTTTCCATCAGCCATCTGAACTAGGGCATTCTCTTTCTTATTAAATAAAATCTTCACCCTCTGCACATCACCATAGACTCCTTCAGAAAGTGAGGAACAAAAACAGTCTTAGGTAGGACAAAATGAAATCTCATTCAACTTAGCATTAGCTAATCAATCCAACAGCAAAAACATTCATTCACAACCAGAACTGATCTCATTCCAACCATGTTTACTTATTCTGCTCTACTTAAGGAACATTTTATATAGCAGAATAATAATGGAACAATACATTAAAGAAAAGATACTGGGTTTCAGCAAAAAGCAAAAATCTAACTGCCAGAAGACTGGACAAATTTAGCATGCTACCACAATTTAAAACTCTTAAAAGACATGCAAAGCAATAAACCATGCATAACTGAACATAAAATAAAGGCAAACTAAAATTAAATAGCAAACTAGGTAAACAATGTAAAAACGAAATTACGCATTCAAAAATGGCAAACTGCAAACTGTACATTTTTGAAGTATCAAAAAAGTAATCTCAAATAAATGAAAAACAAGGTAATAAAAAGTGTGAATAATAACATACCGAAAAGAATAAAGAGGCATTGGGGTGTAACTCTCTTTAGAGAACAGCAGAGCAAGGCAGCGGAGGGACAGGGAAGAGGTAAGGAATCGAAGGGGAGAGCGAGGTTGCACAAATCGTCCACAACGAGGAAGGGCAGAGTCCCCGCAGGAAATGGCGAAATTGGTTGATGGATGATGAAGTTTTCAAGATGGTTAATATTGAAGGGCAGGTTGGTTTCCGAAGAGCAGGGTTTTTTTTTTTTTTTTTTTTTTTTTTTTTTTTGGAAGGGGAATGTTTTTATTTTGTTTCAAGCAACAACAGGAAGCAGAAGTACCGTGCAGTCAGTTGGCAAAGAAATTCCGGATCAGGGGAAGAAAAAAAAATTCAGGGATGGGGGAGAAAAGAAAAAAGTAGCAAAAAACACAGGTCAGTAAATACATAAGGAAATATGTAGTGTTCCATCAGTCAGATTTATAGAATTCTACATACAATATTTGTTTACAGAAACAGTTAATAGGTTTTACCTAGTGGAACACAATGATAAAGAAAAGGCATTTTTACTTAAGATATACAAAGAGATAGGAGACAGTATCACAACAGAGTGACTTCTACTGGCTTCAATACCGAATTAAACTGCAGTATTCTGTAAAACCACAATCAAAATATTGTTTTCACTATTTCCAAGCATTTCTTAGAAGAAATGCCTTTGTGGATCAATTCAGAAACAATACAGCTGTGTTTGCTCCTTTAAGATAAGCACCTAGAGGAAGGAGTCTATATTGGATATTTAGGTGTAACCAAAGAGGAGTCCAATTTGAATATGAATCATTGCTCCTAACGCAGAAGATTGAGGAGCAGCTGTACTATTTAACCAGGAAAAAAAAAATAAACCTCAAAGTAGTAGAAGTGCTTGCTATAAAGGAGCTTATTACTACATTTACTAGAAAAAACTCTTCCCTTCCATCTTTCTCAATGGGTTGATTTCCCAATGCAGAAATTATTACTCAGCCAGAATATCAAGAGCAGAAATAGCATCTCTGTTCCCCATGACAGCACTATGTAACATGCAGACAGAAGCCTGCATTTAAAGTAAAAGGTAGTGCAAGTCGAGGTATCCAGACTTCCTCCATCCATTGTAAAAATGGTAAGTGGAATTAATTTTAATTTCCATGATTCTGAGCGAGGAAAAAGCCCCATGTTACAAAGGAGTCACTCTAGAGGAATACTGTCTCTTAACTAACTGGTTGTGGCATAGGTAAGTTTCTACAACACTGATTATACAAGCAATGGAAAAAAGTTTTAGGTCTGTTAGTTCTCAGCTTCAGTCCAAGTATCAAAGTCTCTCTAGCCCAAAGATAAGCTGGATGGACAGTGAAGAGCTCATCAAAAAATACAAGGCATGAAATAACTGGTTGCTCCTATTTAAATAAGAACTGTGCACATTGTTTATACAGTGCTCTTAGGAGCTGTGAACATATGCAATTTATATAGGATAAAAGACTATGCTATGCTCCTATCACTGCCACCTTGTCAATGCAGAATCACCACAAGAAAAACACACTTGGCCATATTAAATTGGGCAAAACCAATGCCAGCTCTTAACGTTTAAGGTTTTTGCCTGTAGAGCAAGTCACTGGGACCAAGCCAAAGACGACAGTTCCTGGAGCAGCCCAAGAGTTCCTAGGTAGAGAGAACAACTCATCCCAACCAAAGCTTGCCACAGTCCATGCCATTATTTCATGCCCTGGAGAAAACAGTAATGATAGATAAAAAAAGAAGTCTGAAATACTAATTCAATTGGTTAATGTCATCAAGAGTTAAATATTTTTGATTATTCTTCATCACATCCAGACTTCCCCTTTTGATTCAAAAGAGGTTTTGGGTTGCTCTGACATTGCTGGTAAGTTTTATAGCTTTACAAAGTAGTACTGTGTGTGCAGTCCCACCAGTTACTGTTTTCCATCAGAGTCTCAGCATACTCTATTACACACAGTAAAAAATTCTACACTTTCAGGCTGACAGAGACAAGAACTGACTTAAAAATCCAAGATATTCTTTATCAAATTATCTCATGGAATCTTTCATTAAAGATTTTTATTCAATTTTAGTTGCTTCATTTAAGAAGCCCAAATATTTCAACTCATTGAGATAAGTTAAACAGAATTGAAAATGTGAACTGAGTTGTTAAGGGTTTAACTAAGGAAATACTTCCAGGAATCTTGGAAAGGAAAAAAATTAAATGTGCAAGCACATGGCAAAGAAAATACTGCACAGGTACGACAAAGTCAAGCTGGCAGGGGTCCAGACACTACACAGAAAGAGTAAAGGTCAGAATGAACTCTCTCTGTAGCTCTGAATTAATATATTAACAACTAGAACATGCTAAGAGGGAGGGGTAGGGGGAAGAATGGACATGACTTCTCTGTGACCCAAATGACACTATGCCATGGAAGTGGCAGGGAGATTCCAAATAAGAGGGAGGAAGGGACAGGCTTTGTAGTCTTTATGGGACAAGAGCAGGCAGGCAGCACCCTTGGCTTTCAAAGAAGAGCAAAGTTCAATTTGAGACAGACTTCCCATTTCTCCTCAGCAACTAGAGTACTGATCTGCTTTGAGGTTTAGAACTGGCAGAGCCCATGTCATCTGCTTTTCTGGTTTTGCCGTTTCCTTTAGGATACAGTAGGATTTCACTTTCAATGAGTTTCAGCAAAATCTGTGTTCAGAAAGTGAAAGCAGAGGTAACAGGAAGGAGGAAAAAAAGTAAAATTAGGACTCCACTAACCTCAGGATTCAGATTGCTAACCAGCAGAACGGAGTTCCCTGCCCCAGTGAGGCCGGGAATGGCAATCCGTCCTGCTGCAGCCGCTGCAGCTGCTGGGATAGCCAAAGGAGCTAGTGCTCCATGAACATTTGGAACTGACAAGCCTGAAATTAAAGAATATTAACCAGTAAAGAAGTTAACAGCACGTACTCTAGTGTATTTGCTGCACCAGAAGGGAGAACAGCACACCTCCTTCAACATGCAAGTAACAGTTCAAAACACAGTCAACTACTTGAGCAGCAACAGGAGACTCCAATTCTGGTGCCACAGGACGTGTTATAATTTCTAGTAATATTTGCTCTTGCAGTGCCTGGTGCTTAACAGATGCCTCTCCACACAGTGTTAACCACAATATTTTGCATGTTTTACAAGCAGAATCAGCACAAAGCCTCAGTTCTGTTGGTGCAGGAAAGTGTCACAAGCAATGCATATGAAAAGGTCTTTCCGACTGGTACATGCCAAAAATGCTTCGTTCTTTAACCATGCATTTAGGTCAGATATCATATGCTACCATTAGCTAATTCCTTCTGGGATGAAGGAACATTTAAGTTCCATTTATACACATTTTCAGGATGCTCAGTAACATTTGGCACCTCACAGTATGAGCCCTCTAAAGGAAGGAACTTTAGTTCTCATCTGCTCATGGTTAAATGAAATTAATTCTCAATGTGGCACTGTTCATCTACCCAATGGGACAAAATATTGTCAAAACATTAGTGGCTGGGCACTTTGATTCATTTGTCACAAGCAAGGAAATTCTAATCAAGTAACAGAGGAGTCACTAGCTCAGTATGCGAATTTATTTTACTAACACTCCAACAGGAGAATTTAGTGCCTAGAACCTCATTTAACCTGAAATAGTTATTTCTGAAAAAAGCAATATTTTGTCATATACAACTTGTCAGTTTCACAGTGCAACTTTAAAAGCATCATTAGGCTCATATTTAAATATTAGCTTTATTTAGGATATTTAGAAGTGGATGGAACCTGACGGCTTTCATAGCAATCAAGTTCTCAAACAGAGAAACTTAGTAATTTAATACTCTAAGAGGAGAGTCTAAATACAAAAGGCTTACTCATCTCCCCCAAATACTTTAAACAATGCTTTTACTACCTGTTTCTTCTATTTAGACTTTCCTGGCTTGTGGCCACTCAACTACATTTTTATATTCTTAGTTGAGTTTATACACTGAAACATCATTCCCTTCTACGTCCTAAGGCCAGCATTCAAAATTTACATGACTAACCCCAACAAAAGAAAACATTACTTAGCTCTAAAGCCTCAAGACAGACCCAGAAATAAGCAGAGAACCTATATAAAAAAAATCCAACTTACGAAATACAGTACCTGCAGCCTGAGGAATTGCAAAGGTAGGAGGAAAGCCAGCTCCTGCATATGGAGAGGCAGAAATTATTCCAGGGGCACCTGGGAAGAGATATAAACGCTATACATCAAACCCATAGCAAGACAACTCTCTATACACAACCAGAATATCTTGAGGTCTCTATCCTTCAACTTGAGCACTTACCAGGAAGCTAAGTCCTAAATATAAACATTAAGCATTTTCAAGCTATAGGCTACAACATCCCAAATTATTGCTGATTACAGAGTGTAGACGGAACAGCAGATGGCACTAGAAGTGCAGAAAGCAGCAAAATCTAGAAATCCTCACACAAAGCAACAGCTTTCACAGTAACAGCATGCACCTGCATGCATACACCTGTCCTAGTACTTCACACTACTCTCATCCATGGGTTCCCAAGCTTTTCTAATCAGAGAAGACTAATTTTGCATGACCAAATTTATTAGGATTACACTGCCACCCCTTTCCCAACTCACACAAGTATCAGTTCATTTGTCCTGCCCCCGGTTCAAGAATTCTCACCAAAAGCAGCTGCCATGGTCTGATCAAGAGAGGGCTGGTTGTCCCCAGAAGGTAGGTCTGGCCGTGTATAGTCTCTGCTCTTATCATTGTTATATTTTACATTGAGACTTGTGAGCTTGGAGAAATCTATGCGCAGTGTACAGCAGGCATTGTAGATATTCTGTCCATCTAAAGACTGCAAAGAAAGAATTCTTTACCCCAGGTACATTTATACTAAATCAGGTAAAAATCTGAGAATGTGAAGTGTTACCTCACCTCAGGAAACTTTGGTCTCTTCATTTTCTTCATTTTATCCCCTTAGAGTATTTACTCAAAATACTACTCTTCTAAAGGTGAAATTCCCACCCACTCGTATGTGCAACATGCCACTGTATCAATGCTTGCACAAACATAATACAACAGCAAATATTCCAAAAATGTTAATTCCTAAAGTTGATCTACATTAATAAATACCTGAATTATTTAAATTCTAAAGCTTGCTTTTAGCAATGCAAACACTACTCACCAGTTTGGCATGCTGAGCACTCACTGGATCAGCATATTGTAGCAGGGCTTGAAATTGGTTGTTCTTTGTGAATGTAATTATTTTCAAGACTGTACCAAACTTGGAAAAAATCTGCAAGATAATATTTGTGTGCATTGTTATCTTATTTCCAATAGGGCAATTTCATTTATCCCCCACTACTAGAAGCAAAAAAGTTTTTATCTTTTCATCCTATTAAGTTGTTCAGTTTAAGTATTTGAGTTTCTAAACTACCCTGTAGGTGTTTTGTTCAGATTAAAACATAGTTACTGAAGTGCTCCCTTTAATAAAAAAGGGTTGGTTTTGTCTTACTAATTCTTATACAGGAAGATTCACAAACACCTTCATAACCTGGTATTTCTCAGAAAAGTGGAATCTGACAGCTACTTCCTCTAAATCCTAGCTACAGTTTCAAGAGCTGTCTTGAAAGTACCAGTATGGATGCTGATGAACCATCAACCAAATCTCTGAAAATTAAAGTTTAGACAGACGGGGACAAAAAAAAAAATCTCATGGACACCATGACCTGGAAAGCAGAGCTTTGAGGGATATGTTCAGAGCTGCTCACTTCAAAATTTGTTTTAGATGGATAAGAACATGCTGTTAACACTTATGTTGCAAATATACTAGTAGTTGTATACCAGATGTTGTTGTAACATGTTTTACCTGATGCAGAACATCTAGAGTGACAGGGTAGAAGAGATTCTCCACAATGATCCTCAGGACAGGGCTCTGGCCAGCCATCGCCATTCCTGCATCCACAGCTGCCGCGGAGGCCGGCAGCGCGAGGTTTCCGGTCTGAACAGTGTTCACTGCTTGCAGAGCTGCTTGGGCACGCTGCAGAACCAAACATCCCGTTAGACACCCACTCCTGCTTGCAGGAACGCATCCCGAGATTCCCATCTATTCCCATCTATTCCCATCTACACTGCAAGACAAACACACAGCTGCTATAGGGATCCAGGAGTGAAAGAGACTTGGAAAAAAAAAATGGGAAGAGTCCCTGTTATATGTATGTTGTTATAATGGGCTCAGCATTGCACATTAAATTCTGCTTTTGTTATATGCACCAAGTAGCATTTCATCTCCGCAACATTAGATCCTGATGAATGTCAGTCTGAAAAGTGAGAGGAGGCAAGCTGAATGCACTAGGAAAACAAGCCTGATAAGGAGGCACAAGTAACTTGAACTTCTTTCCAGTGTTCTTGTCCTGAATGAATGCCAATACGAGCTGAGCCAAAAAGGGAACCTTTTACTCTATGCAAAGTATCTGTCTTTCACTGAAACTCTAGATAGCACAGACAAAGCACCAAGAGCTGCTGTGTTCGAGTGCTGCCTGCAAAAGCTAATGCTCATTAGCAATGCATTGCATGAGCACTGCATGTACTGAAAGCAGAATTTCACCCTAGAGCTTCATTTTATATAAAGCTTCAAATATTACAAACTTTTTCCAAATTCAATCTTTAGATATCTATTCAGTTATTGTTTTTAATTAAAGAATGGTAATACATTGATTCTCATAACCTTGTATTTGTGATTGTATTTTCTTCCCCTGACATTTCAGGCCAGTTTTAGTAGCTCATCGGACAGTTTGAGTTAAAACCCTTACAGGAGTCCTTAAGCTAGAAACCACTGGTAGATATCATGATTTCATCCCTCCTGTTCCCAAGTAGCATATGAAAAAACATAGGTAAAAGGAAAGATACAAGCAAGAGCACTTTATTTTGAAAGCCAGGCTCCCAAACCCCATCAGAAGTTTGTGTTCAATTTGACAGGAAACAACCTGCTCTGCTCAGCACTATCGCAGTTAAATCAAATCCCTTGAAACCCTTTCATGCCTACACCAGCAGCACAAACCAAAGCAGCAGGCAAGAACCACGTCCGCCCCTCCCACCAATACGTCAACGTAAAGAAAACTAACTGCTTGGTTTGGAGAGTTGTCCGTTTTGAGCTCCTTGTGGTTGGAGAACTGAATGTAGATGGGCTGGCTTCGAAGAACTGGAGTGACTGTGGTATAATAGTTTACCATGGTGTTGGCTGCCTCCTCCGTATTCATTTCGATGAAAGCCTGCAGGGAAGTCCAATCCAAAACATCCAGATATTATCAAAGCAGCTCATGCTAGGACACAGTGTTAACACTTGAAAATATCATAGTACAATAACTTGAAAAACAGCTTTACTTCTAATTGAATTGCGTCAGTTTTGTAACGACTACTGCATTTACATTCAAGGTTTTCATACTAGAGTGACAGCCCAGATTCTTAACTTATTATCATATTAAGAAACCTCATAATTCTCTGTAAACTTACTCATTCTTTCATACGTTTATGGACTTGCTCTACTTAAGCAAAAAAATGCAAAGGGTTGTAAGGAGTCATTATATTAAATACGTTCATATAAACATGCCATGCAACATCTAATAGAGGCACATTTTCATAATTAATATTAACGATGTAGTATCTTATGTGATGATTAAAGTTGGCTTGCTTCTTTACTCATTAATTTGTAAGACACAATTTTAGTCACCAAATTAGTCCACACCTCCTGCATCACCCAAGCGTATCTTGACTTTACCCAGCTCATTTGGTGTATCTGTAAAGGTATCCTCAGCCTGCAAAGTTCACACTTGGGGCTACTCAGCTATCAAGAAGTCAAAGTGAAAAAAGCCAACTCATGCCACTGTTGTCCAAGTCATTTACCTAGTCTGTAATTTAAACCCAAGCATAATGCCAATTATAAACGACAACCTAGAATTACGAACTGAACTCCTTGTACAGTCTGAAAATAGCATTTTATACAGCTCACAAAATAATCATGGAAAAGTAAAATACAGTATGCAGAAGTCATTGACTCCTAATGCATGACAGTTGTTTAAACAATTTGCATGTGGTTTACTGATGACAAATCATCAAGTTTGACATAATCATTACTTTCAATTTCAAACAATACCTGATTTTTTCCTTTCAACATTAGAAGATTGGTGACCTTGCCAAAAGGTAAGCCCAAAGAAATGACCTCTGCCTCCGTGACGTCACTGGGGAGTTTACGGACGTGGATTACTCGAGATGGGACCCCAGCACTTCTACTATCACCTTTGAATTTTTTGCTGTCGTTTCCATTAGCTATGGAAAGCAAAAATTACTGCTTATTAGAGCGTGTTTAATAAAACATTGACATATATACCACATTCACACGCAGTGTGTGCTCCCCAGCCAATTATCACTCTCTACATTACACTGTACCACGGTCCCATTTAAACAGAGTTTGAAGACATGTGGTTTTGCTCATTTTTCAAATTACATGAGTGACACGAGTGACGTAGCAGAATGCCAAAGCAATGGAATCGGCTCTCCAGTGGCCATTTTGCAGCTTGTTTTCCGAGTACACACACAACTCCACCCACCCGCAGCTCCGCTTCCCTTTGGTCCCAGCCACCAATTCCTGACAGATGCTTTATTCTTTTTTCCCTTTGTCCGGCACTGCAGGCAATGAAGCAGCATGAGGAGCACATCTTAAAGTAAGTGATATTAAAACAACAAATACAAAATTGTTTTGGATCATGAATTAACTGGACTGCACACAGGGGAGGTGTCAGCAGCACAGGAGCAAACGCATTAGTGGACAGGGAGGCCACACTTGGGCAGAGCATAAAGGGACTCGAAGGGTAATGGCAGCTCAAAGCAGGACAATTCCAGGCACTGGAACAAGCACAGAGAAAAGGTCTAGACTCAGCACCCAAGCATTCCCTCTCAGATAGGGTTACTTAGGAATCTAACACAATGTAGAAGTAATAAAAAGCTATTATATACATCAAAATTTTCGTACATTAATTCAACTGTGCTAGAGCCGCACCATTTTTCAGCACAAATTGCATGTTCCAATTCCTGTGAAATCATTTCAGCAACTGTCCTGCAAAAATTTTATTCAAGCCACTAGCCCTTTAATGCTATAGGGTAGAACTTTATTACCTTCAGCTCAGCCTTACAGCCTAATAGCAAACACTAAAAATGAGTAATTTTAAAATTAAAACAAGTAGGGGGCAGGGCCTCACAGCATTTCAATGCCAATAACCAATTTCTGTTCTTACAGACGATGTTACCTGCAGAGGAAGCGTTGCCGCTCATGATAAAGGGTCCGTTAGTAACACAAGCAGTGAAAAGCTCGTCAGATCCCCGCTGGAAAAGAAAAGAAGAATGGGTAAGCTGACAGCGTTCTGCTAAAATCCCTTCAGGTACTTGGAAAGCAGACGAATAATTGAGTTAAGGTTCAAAAAAAATGAACATAAGTGCAAATATACTGACAGCAGGCAATCAACCTCTCCTTCATAAATTAAATACAAGTAAAATCCAATTTAGCAAGTATGCAGCACTATCCACTAGCTCCATTCAGCTCGGCATTAGGAACCCTCAGGATTGTCTGAAGGCAATAAATCAAGTCCTCTGTTCAGATATTAGCTCTCCTAGTATTTCTAGTGAGATAGATTTGACTACTGATATCAGACAAGATTATCATCATTTTAGTTTAAGCTAGAACAATACTGCAGCTTATCAGAAATGGCAAAGCAGTTACCAAGAGTAAGAAACTCTGAAAGCTAAAAAAAACAAGTTGTCAAAAGCATTAGCACATGACTTAACCATCTTGAAAACAAATGTGCACTGCTACCTGACAAGGAAAAGATGTAACCTGGAGAAACTGAGAACTGAAAGAAATGGAACTCTTTCATGCTTACCCCCACAAAGGCCAGAGCAAAAGTCAAATGACTAGAAAAGTAGCTACTTTTC